AAGGTCTGGAGGTATCTGGAAAGGCTTTTTGGAGGAGTTGCGGCAGAGACAGAAAGTCTAAGAAACTGAAGATTTGCCTGGGAAGACAGTGACAAGGCCAGTCTGAATAAAGTAGAATATTTTATAAAGAGGAAAGCATGCGCCCAGGTGTGGAGGTGTGGAGGGAGCATTCGTGCTTACGGGGCTGCCAAGAGTTAGCCGAGGCTGGGGCCTGGGGAAGGGGCTGGGGAGGTGAGCGGCCAGCAGCTACCAGAGACCAGGCAGTGGGGTGGAGTTTGGGAGGGCCGGCCAAGGGAGGCTGGACTTGCCCGGAGGACAGCGGAGCACTGCTCAAGGGTTGTAAGCAGAGAAGCAGAGGGAGTGGCGTGTTCTAGTTGCTGTTTGAAAAGACCACTTTAGTGGCTGGGTGGAGGATGGGCTGGCAAGGAGGGTGCCTGCACTGGGACACCAGTGACCAGGCTATTCCAGTCCAGAGCTGGCTGTTGCCACCAGGATTTCCTTTTCTCCTGCTCGGAAGCAGTGTGGACCTGTGTGGGCCCCAGGCTATGAGGGACAAGACTGAAACTGGTCTGGCTTGGAAACGAACAGGAGGGCATTTTCTTGACCTCAGGCCAAGGCATCCTAAAGTCAAGAAAATGTGAAAGGCTATCTTTAAAGAAAAAAAATTCCTTCTCCTGTTGTAACGTTCCACGTTCCCCTCCCAGGTCCCCCCCCCCCACTTCTTCCTTCACAGAACACCTCTCTCCCCATGACAAGTTATTATCAGAGTTATTGTCAGGAGACAGAGGGAAACGAAATTGACAGTGTGAACTTCTGGGAGATTTTTTATCCTCAGAAGGCCCAGCTGGTGCTCTCTGGGGCATCTTGGTGGGTTCTATCAAGCACGGGTCCATGGATAATTCACCAGATCAACTGAGGCTCTCTCTCCATCCTGACAGCAAGGTTGTGGCTCCGGTCCTCACTCACGCTCAGCATGAGATGCAAAGTTTCTTAAGTTCTACAATCAACTAGGGGAAGTGTATTTATCTCTAGGGGATTCATTAGTTGTCTATCACTGCCTAACATGTTACTCTGGAGTTCAGCATTTTAAAACAACAAACCAAAGTGGGGGGAGCTCACCTCTTGAAGGGAGAAGATTAACGAATTTGTGGATGCATTTTTAAAACCACCGCAAGGACCTATTTGATCTCCAAGAAGTGATATGCCGCAGCAGTTAAGAGTATAATTTGAGATTCATAAAGACCTAGGTTTAATCCCAGCCCCTACATTTGTTACTGATGCAGGTCGGGACAAGTCATTTAACCTTGCTAGATCTCAATTTCCTATAAAATAGGGGTAAGAATAGTAGATGTTTCTTTGGATTCTGTGAAAATTAAATAAGATCATACATGTAAAGTGCCTGACACAGAGTAAGCACTGAATAAATATGACTTAATTGCTATTGTAGTGGAATAATATTATTGTCCTTGTTCACAAGAGGCAGGATGGCATAGAGGTGAGAACACAGGTGGAGTCAGACTGTCAAGGTGGGGACTCTGGCTCTGCCAGCACTTAGTTGCGAGAACTAGGGTGAGTTGCTCAATGTCTCTTGGCCTTGGTCTTCTATAAAATGAAGATATAAAAGCTAGTGCCCAGCCACCTAGTAGATGTTCAATAATTGTGTTATGAATGAGGAAATGGTGGAGGGGTGATAAAGGGATATTATCCCTCTATCAAAGTTGTGTGTGTGTGTGTGTGTGTGTATGTGTGTGTGTGTGTGTTGGGATGCTGCACAAAACACACCTGACTTCAACACCATCTGTTACCTGGGGAGCCTGGTATGGCTGTCCCAGTTCCACTTGAGTGTCCCCTGGACCCTGAGCGTGTCCCCTCCAAAGCTTCCAGCTTTATCTTCCCTTTTGTGTTATTCTTGGTCTCCTGGTTCAGCTTCTTTGCCACCCTGGCTTTGTTCAAGCATACTTCTTTCATCATCCCTGCTGCCTCCCCCAAGAATATGTTTAATTGGCTTTGCACGAGTCTGGGGATTTAGTGACAGGATTGTGTGTGTTGGGGGGGTCCCATGTCACACCACCTCAGAGCTGCTACATTACCTTAAATTGATTTTGCAAATGCAAGCTAAAAGCTAAGCAAAGGCGACCCATCCATTTTGCCTAAAGATGATTATAATGCTCTTTTACGGCCTCCTAAATGACAAAGCAATTTGTTACCTGCCTGCATCAACATTTGCTTATATTAGCACCCGAGATGCTTGATTTTTATTAGCCCCACGTTATCATTTTATGAAGACGCAGGGGCTGAGTAAAATTAGTGTGCAAATAGAATGCCCATTTTACATTTCCCCGTGGTCAGCAGAAATTCTGAATGCAATTGAGTTGATACCAGGTTGGGGGAGACATCCATAAAGGTAGCTTTCACTGAGGCCTTGGTAATGCCATTTATCATCTCTACGCTGCTCGGATAGATGGGGTCAGTGTCAGACAGTGTTTTTTAAAAGTGCTTGGTGGCATTTTGGTTTATTTTGTTGTTATTTTTTTAAGCGAGAAAGCAGTATAAATACTGAGACATAGCTCAACTTCCACAAACAACAAGGGATAAAACCAAACTCTCCTCTGTACGTTATAGATGGAAAGGCAGAAGGTGCGGAATCTGATACTGTCATTAGTGGGCCCAGGAGGAGACTGCTAGCTCTGTGACCTTGGGCATGTCCCTTCCTTCTGGGAGCCTCAGTTCCCTCACCTGTAAAATGGGATACCCTCCACCTCACAGAGGCATGATAAAGATTAAACGTGTCTGAATTTCTTTATAAACCATGATCAGTATGAGCACATTTTACTTATTAATTCAATGGCCAGTTCCTGAGCACCTAGTCCAGGCAGGGTCCTGGGAAAGACATTAAACATACACCATGAAAGTCACAGTTTGTTCCTCAAGGAGCTTGTATTCTGTCCAGGAAATGTTCACGTATCTAACTCCTCTTTTAAACCATAGACTTCTTTGTAGCAGATGAGCCTTCTCTCTCCCTCCCTTTGCTCCTAAAGGTGTTTAGCATAGATCCGAGCACAGAGCAAGTTCTCAAGAATGTATTTTGGCTTCATTATATGTCTCACTGCCTGATAGGGATGTAGTTTTAGGGAAGCAGTGACAATACTGGCGACCCCAATAGACCAAGCAAGTCCTAAGCCGTCAGAGCCAGGCTTCAGAGGGTTAATTCTTTTGATTTTAGTCTCTGATGTTGGTGCATCAGCTGCTGGGATCATGAACCACATTCAAAATAACCTGTCCCTAGCTTTTCAGAAGCAGAAAACCTGTTACTGGTTTCTGCCTGCCCCCTCCCTCCAGATCATCCTCTAGCACAGATGGGATCCTTTAATCCAGCTCCTCTCAATGTTTATTTCTGAATTTCCTTCAGGTCATCGTTCTGTTCTATGTCAGTCGGTCCTTCTTCTGCCTGTGGCTAAGTGCCCTTTCCTGCCCCTCCTTTCTGGAAATGTCACTCTTGGCTACTGCTTTTGTCTAATACTGTCTTTGCACAATGCAGAACTTTATTATACTTCTGTAGAGGCAGCAAGAGCTAGGGCTCTGATTCTGGCCCATAATTTTCTATTTCTTTGTATGTCTAATAATTTCTATCGGATGCTGGATATTGTGAATTATACATTGTTGAATATCTGGATTTTGTTGTCTTCCTTTAAAGAGAGTTAGAATTTATATAGCAGGCAGTCAAAATGTTTTTCTTCCATTTAGGCCTTTTGAGATTTATTTTAAAATTTTGTTGGAGTGAGTCTAGAGTGGTTTAGCCCCACCACTAAGGCATGGCCCTTCTGGGTTCTCTACCCAATGCCCTGAATGATCAGTGCAGACTTCCACTTTGGAGGTGGGAATTCAAGTGATGCCTAGCCCTGTGTGAGCCCTGAGAAAGTGCACTTCACAGCTCCGTGTTCATTTTTTAAATAACATCGTGGAGATTCACCCTGTGCATGCATATCTTGGGACCCAACAAAAGACTCATGAAGACCCCTTCACAGATTTCTGGAACTCTTTCTACAGAGCTCCCTCTTCTCTGGAACTTACAGTTTCCCCACCTGCTCCAGACCCCCTAAACGTCAATCTCAGTGAGACTTCCATGCTCTGTTCAGGATACCCCTCCCTGCTCTTTGGTCTGGGATGGGCCACCAGGCAAAAAACCAGTCATGGGGCACACCTCATTAGTTTCCTTTTTCTTGTGAATTAGTCTTGCACTGACTCTTGTTCAATGTCTGAAAACAGTTATTCTGTACATTTTTGTCCAATCTTCTAGTTGCTTAAGATGAAAGAGAAATCTGGTCCCTCTTACTCCATCAAGGCCAAACAGGGCTTGGATTCTAATCTCAGATCTACCCTACATAGCTGTGTAGGTAGACCTTGAACAAGTTATATAACCTCTGAGCCTCAGTTTCTGCCTTGATAAAAGGAGTATTAATTGTGCGTGTTTCTGTAAGGATTATAAATAATGTATATAATGCGCCTGACACAAAAGGTGCTAATTAAACAGCAGCTGCCTCTATTACTGGTACCAATATAAATAGCGCCCTTGCTACTCCAGCACTTACTGAATTTTTCCTGTGTACTGGGCGATATGCAAGCTTGTTTAGTTATGACAACAATCCTATGAAGAAAATATCCATGTTTATAGATTAGCACACTGAAACTCAGGAAGGATACATAACCTGCCTAGTTCTAAGGTCAGTGGATCTGGGATTGGACTTCATATGACTTCTTCAGATGATTGTAATATTAATATGATCATTTGCACCAAAGAAGAGAAACGTAAGTGTTTAATATTAGATAACCAGGGACTTAATACAACTAGTCAGTAATGGCTAGGACTTAATGGTTCTAACCCAGTGGTTTAAGAGATCAGTGCAAAGCATCCTTTTCCTGCCTCCCTCTCTCCCACATACTAACTCCTCATCTAAGTTTTCCCTGTCCTCCTTAGCAACCTCTTCCATTTTGTCTTACAGACAACCTTCGAGAAGGGGCGGAGCAGAAGGTGGTATTCATCACGGGGCGAGTCCACCCGGGGGAAACACCCTCTTCATTTGTGTGTCAAGGTGAGTTGCCGTATCTCATGGGCATCCCATGCCTACCCCCTACACCCAGCCTGGACACTGTGATGGCCTCTGGGACGGTATGGTCACATGCAGCAGAGTCATTATCTTGGACGAGAATTCACTTCACTTCTAAAGAGGCTACACCTGAACTCTGTTAGTATTATTTCACTAAATATTTATTGACTACATGTATGTATGGAAGAATGGCTGAATGAACGGATGGACGGGTGGATGGATAAATGAACAGGTAGGGCTGAATGAAGTTCTCTTGTATGTGCTGTATTGAGGATGAGTCATAGAGTCAGCTACACATCTTAGTTTTGTTTTACTTGTCTCCGTTGGTTTACAAAAATAAGAAATCTGGCCTCCTCCCACTCAGCATCACCACCAAAAAAAAAAAAAATACTGGCCCTAGGTCAATGCATCATATATTGGTAGAAGTGAAAATTATTTACTCATTCATTCAATCATTCAGTTAACAAACAACTTTTAAAATACCTACCATGAGCAGGAATGCATGCTTCATATCAGACAACCAGAGATAAATAAAGGTGTAATTTCTCTTCTCAAATATATCTCTTTATAATTGAATTTTATTTATTAAGTGTTTAATCCATGTTAAATATATATTTAGTCAACAATATATATAATCCGTGTGTGTGTATATATATGTTCAACTAGTCAGCAATATAAATATGTTCAACAGGTAACATATAAATGATAATTGAACAAATGCCCAGGTTCCCACCAGCCTAAGAAGCAGAATATTATCTATTCCTTTAAATCCTCTATCCTCCTTACTTTCCCTGCACACAACTAACCATCAGCTTGAATTTTGTATTTGTCCTTCTTAATAGTTTTACTGTACATGTAAGCATTCCTAAACAACGCATTTTTAGTTTTGCTTGTTTTGAACTTTATAACAATGGCAGCATTCTGTATGCACTGGAGCTTGCTTTGCCCAGCATCTGTGTTGGTGAGTATAGCTGTAGTTCTCTTGTTCTCTCCATGTGTTCTATTCCATTTCTGTCTATACCTTGACTTACCTGTCTGTTCTCCTGAAGATGGACCATTTAGTTGTTTACACCGTTTTTTCTTAAGAACAGTACTGATTCAAATGTCATATTTGTATCACACAAATATGATACACACCTGTTACCTGTGCACATGCGCAAATATTTTTCTAAGGTGTACAACTGGAATGTAATTGCTAGGTCATAGGATACGTGTGTCTTCAACTTTACTGGCTATTTCCAAATTTCTCTCTAAAACGTTACACAACTTGACACTGCCCCCAGCAGTGTGTAAGAGCTCCTCCTATCTCACGTTCTTGCCAGTACTTTTTCATTTTTACCTTCTAGTAGGTCTGTTACGTATAAAATATGTGACACTATGTATGAGCCAAGCACTGTTCTAAGCACTTTACATATTTTGTTATTTTGTTAATGTCATCTAAGTTATTTGCTTTATCTTGATTGTATTAATTTTTCTATGTCATAGGAATGAATATCAACTATATTTTTACATATAAGAAAACTGAAGTTTAGAGAGGTTACTGTAGTCTCAAAATGCCCATGAGGTCGAAGGGATATGAAGAAGCCCACGGAGGTGATAACAACCCGTGGGAGGCAGCGGGTATCCGTGCTTTGCCGTCGGACAGTCTTGGGGTCAGATACTGAGTCCGCCGCTTCCTAGCAGTTTGCTTTCCTTAAAGGTAAAATCAGTCACACTGATCTGTGAAGGCGGTTGTGATGCTGGCCGGAGATGTAAGTGAACAGACACCCAGTCCGGTGCCTGGCACACAGCAGGCCCCCAGGAGATGCCACCCCTTCCCCGTGGGGATCTGAGAAGATGAAGCGGGTAATTTGCTTTGTAAGTGCGAAGGCACTCTGCAAACAAACATGGGGCTTATTCACCCCACTTGTATCTTTACAGGGCTGTGTTCCGCACAGCGTCTCCCTCTTTGTTTCAGACAAGGAGACTGAGTTTCGGGGAGAGGGAGTGATTGCCCAAAGACAAGCAGCCTGTCTGAGGCAGAGCTGGGCGGGGGTCTCAGGCCCCCGCTCCAGGCACCTTAGCTGACTCCATGGCATTCTCACTTCCCTCCTCCTTCCTCCCCAGCACCGTCCTTGTAATAACCTCTCCCAGTCCCTCCTGGTTGTACCAACTCCTTTGCTGGCAGCCATCTGCCAGTTGCTAAACTTGGCAGCAGCCCTGTTCCCCCAGCTGATCGGATGCAACTGTTTTGTCCTTGTTTGTGAAAAGACAGTAGACTTACTGTCAATACTTTCATCTCTGGGAGCCCAACTCCCGTGCCCACCTCCTCTGTGGGCCACAGACCAAGCGCAGGGTCACCATCCCATTTCTCAGGCAAAGCCTGAGGCAGAGAGAAGCTGAATCGCTCTCCAGGGCTCTCTCTGTTGTTGACCCTGCTTTCCCCAAAAGGAATCTGGCCATGCTGAGTGGATAGACTCTGTGCTGTTCTGTGAGCTTTCAATCAATGTTTGCTCCTTGGCAGAGCCTCCAGTGCCTTCCCACCACCTTCTCAAGGTAAATGGTCACAGTCTTCCATGATCTGGCTCTTCCCAGGTGGCCTCAGTCTCCTTATATCCCAGCCCTGCACAGCTTAATCCCTGAACAGTTTTCTCCCCACCACCGGACCTTTGCACCTGCTGCTCCTCTGCCTGGGAGGTCTCAGGCCCACTCCTTGTCACCTGGCAAACACCCCTCACCTCCCAAGATTCACTTCCAGTACCCACTGTGGGTCCTCTGGCCACTGCTTTCAGCCCCTGCTTTGTGCCTGCATTGTGGGCCACCCAATGGTCATCTTCATTGCCCTGATTTGTTAGCATTTGATTTGTATTTGTTGCTCTCCCTTTAAACTTGAGCTATTAGAGGCCCAGGGCTGGATCTTAGAGTGTCACCCCCCACATCTGTAAAATGGACATTGTCTTGCTTATCTCACGGGGCTGCTGTGAAGAACAAATGCTGTCTTGACTCTGGGATGCTAAATCTGAGTTCAGAAGGAGGAGCCTCCGGGTCTCACAGCAGTAAACAGCGGGAGGGGGCTTTGAACCTGGTTCTCCCAAGCCTGTACCTGCTCTTTTAACCCCTCAGGGATAGGAAGCCCTAGAAGGCCAAGCTTCCCGCCTGGAAGAACACAGTGTTCTGGCCACCCCCACAACATTGTGCATTTGACAGTGAGACTGTGGAGGCTCAGGGAAGTGAGTGGCTTACCCAGGGTGACACAGCTAATTCATGTCAGATGTGGCACTGGGGCCCATCTCCCCACCTCTCTCGTTGTCCCTTGAGACACAATTCATCCTTCCTGAGGCAGCTTAAGACAGGCATCTTTCCCCTACTTTGCCCGCGAGGAACTGAGGCATACTCTTTCCCAAGGATCTCCCAGCCTGCTGGGAACAGCCCAGACCGCAGCCCTGCAGACCAGCCCTCAGCTGGATCCGCACCCCTCCTACCCCACCAGCCCACCTTGTTCTGGGGAGGACAGAAGGCTCTAAGGCCTAGAAGGATGATGGCTGAGGTACCTTAAATTTTGTTAAATCTTTTTCCCAGTAACAGACTTGGTGACCTTGAGTGGAGAACAGACACGCGGGGCCTGGTCGTCCCCATCTGGCTGGGACCACGGTTCTTGCGGCCGAGCTGCCAATGCGCCTGCTGCTGGGAGCAGAGGAAAGCCCTATCATGGCAGAGCTCTGTGGGGGTGGCATTTAGAGTGGCAGGGCTTTGATGTCCTCAGGGCTCTCCTTGGTGGTGGGATGGCTGATTCTCAGTCACTCTCTGCTGCCCTGAACCCCACTCATGGCCTCTACAAGGTCAAACTGTCCTCGTTCCCCAGCTACGCGTGAGAGGTCAAGGGCGCGCCCGTGTTGCCCTGGAGCTGGGTCTCTGGAGCTGCGCCTCCTGGGATTGAAGCCCAGCTGCCCTGCTTCATCCAGGATGACCTTGGGGATGTCTGTAACCTCTCCATGCCTTGGTCCCTTTATCTCAAAAGAGAAGTAATAATGGAAATCCTGCCTCTTAGGGTTGATGTGAAGATTAAATGAGTTAATATCCATAAAACATTTAAGATGGTGCCTGGAACACAGTAAGCTCTGAATAAGTCACTCATAGGCGAGGAGGCAGCACTAATGGAGAACCTTGCAGGTGCCAGGTATGGTTCGTCTGATCCTTACTGTGAACCCGAACCCAGGCGTGTGACTTCTGTACTGTGTGCCCCGCCTTCCCCGCCACCTCCTGAGTCATTTAGCTGAACCCTCCTCATCTGCACACTGGGAAGACCACGGTGCAAGTCAGAAGTCCAGCCAGGACTAGACCTCAGGTCTCACTCCTGGTCAAGTGAATGTTCTTTCACTGACGCTTCCTGGAATTGTTCAGATATCTCTCACTGGAAAGTTCCATCTGCAGAGCACTTGTCCTCTTCAGTTAAGCCCACATCTGTGGAGTGCTCCTGTGGGAAGGCACACCACCCTCTGGAGGTGGCAGGGGCAGTGGGCACAGCTGAGGCTTTGGACTTGGGCAGGCCTGAGTTTGCTGAGTTTGAGTCCTACCGCTTTCACCTCCCAGCTGGGGACCTTCGGCAAGTCCTCAACTCCCAGAGCCGGCTTCTCCGCCTATAAAATGCAGCAGCAATATGGTCCTCCAGGAGCTGCTGCGAGGGTCCACTGAGCCCTGCTCAGCATGGCCAGGGGGCCACCAGGGGGATCTCCCTCCGGGAGCTCACTCCTCAGGGTTGTCCATGGGAACAGGGAGAGGAGTGGGGAGGACACACACACAGTCACACACACTCACACCCACCAGGACCAAGCACAACTTAGCACCTCCCACAGTGAGGTGGTGACCTTTGCCCTTCCCTCCCTCCCCTGCTCTGCTTTGCCCCCACCCCCTCCCTCACCTGTCCTCCCTCTTGTCCTCCCTCCCCTTCCCAATCAGCCTCACGCGTGTGTGACACTAGAGTGTGACACTAGATCCACGAAGGGGTTGTCATGTCGTGGGGCCTTTTGCTTCCCCGAGTTTGTCTTTTCATCTGTGAAATGGCAGAGTTGGGGATGGGAGGGGGAGAATGAAGAGACTGTGAACTTCAGGCTCTTCAAGACCAGACTGTCTGTGATTCCATCATTTGGGGCCCTTGGGCTCGGCAGAGGGCGGACAGGGGTCTGGTATCCGGTCAGCTTGGGCCTAGAGTGGCTCCTGCCACATGACACACAATCTGGGCCCAGCAGAGACTGCCCCCCCCCAGCCCCCGCAACTGTCTTGCTTCAAGCTTGGGTTCTTCCTACTGCAGTGTCCTGCCTCTTAGCAGAGAACAGTATCCATAAACCTTACACAGAACTCTCTAGAGAAAAATCATGCAGGCATATATGTAAATCATTCTGCAAATCACATGCAGATAGACTCCTGGCTCTTCCCATCTTGGCTTAAAGGAAAGGGCATCACTTTGGAGCCTGTAGAACTGGCTGCATCCCAGCCAGGCCCCTGTGAGACCTTCAGCAGCTGAGGTCACCACCCTGACTTTGTTTACCTGTCTGCAAAAATGGAGCTGATGTAATTACCATTCAATGAAGCTGCAGAACATACAGTGCCCGTCACTGGTCCATTTTAATTCGTTTCATTTTCACACCTTCACATTTTCATATCTACTGAGGACTTTCCCTGTCCCAGAGCTGAGCTGGGCACTGACAAAATCATGGTAAAGAGGTTGAGCTGTCCTTCCCCTCCTAAAGCTTCAGAGGGAAGACAGACTTGCACAGCACATGCAAGCCTCAATCCCCCATACTCAGGTACCAGAAATGCAACTTTCTTTACTTTTCTAAAACTGAACTCGGTTTCCATTTTGAGGCCACATTCTGCCAGGGGCCAGAAACTTAATTTCAGTCATTTTCGAGTCACCTTTCTCCAGGATTGTGTGATGTAAGTAAAAACTTCTGATGCTTCTGGGGCTGGTAGACAAATAGTCTTGCCATCAGCGTCACCATCCTGACACCATCAGTGTCACAATCCACACTGCTTCCCCGCCGTTAGCTGCATCCTCGTGGCTCTCTGGGCCTTGGTCACTGCAGAGTCACCACCATGTGGGGTCCTTGTTCCTGACTGCAGGCCTCTTTATGTTTGCTGGCTCTCTCCTGTGTTTGCCCTCTACCTCTACCCTGTCCACCTTCAGGACATCTATCCATTACTTCCCTCCAAGCCACTTTCCAGACTGCAGCCAGGGGGCGCTCTCCAAAGCCCAGCTCTGACCCTGTACCTTGCAGTGGCTCTCTGTGCCCATCTTATACCTCAGCTAGACCAGCATGTCCCCATTTACCTCTCCTGCTTCTCTCTCAACATCTTCCCATTCCCCACACCTTCAGGCAAACCAAATAAGAGCAGTGAGTAAACAGCTCACTTCCTATGTGTGGGCAGCTTGGCTTACATTAACTCACTGAGATCCTCACAGTAACCCACTAGGTAGCTGTTATTATTCTTCTCTTCTTAACTGATGAGGAAACTGAGGGACCGAGCGGTTAAGGCCATACAGCTAGTCCAGCTTCAGAGTCTGTCTTTAATCGTGGAGCTGTGCACCCTGGGATTGCAGAGCTCCGTTAGCAAACAGGCTGTCTTCCTTCTCACCTCCCTGCCTTTGTGTATGGCTTCCCCTGCCTGGGACACCTCCCCTGGCACCTCTCTCACCTGGCTCACTCTACTCATCTTGTAAATTTCCACAGCCCCTTCCTGACCTCCAGGCTGGGTCAGGAGCCCCCCTGGGTTCCCAGGACTCCCTGTACTGTTCCCATCAGAGCCTTTCGTGGTGGGAGCAGTAGGGAGCTGCTCCCCGCCATGCACCCCTATGAGCAGGAGCCTCTCATATATCTTGGCATGAATGCTTATCAGTTCAGCTAACCCTCTAGTTTGTCCAGGTTGAATGAATTCCTGGAAAAATCTTCCAATGAGCATTTATTCGGCACCTGCTGTATGCCTTGCCCTGAACCGAGCACACCAGGAGAAACAACAACAATAAATGTTCAGTCTGGTTTGCTGGATGAAGGTCATCGTGGCCAGGCAAGGTTGGCACAAGACAGTGATATCTGCCGGCCACCCAGCCAATTTCATATCCTCTGCCACGACATTTCCTCCTCCTCCAGTCTCTCTAGCCTCCAGCCTTCACCTGTTGCTCTGCTTTCTTTCACCTTCCTGATTGTACCAGCTCAAAAGAAACAAACCTGTTTACTGAAGAGATAGAGACCGATCTTAAGAGGGTGGATGGTGTCTCCCAGCAGGAGAGAGTGTTCTCCTTACTTGACAGATGAGGATTCTTCCACTTTGGGGGAGAGGACTAAAATAGATGGAATCAGACTGTCGGTGTGGGCTGCACCCGTGGGAATAACTGGGTTCTTTCTTCTAATTTTAAAGATAAGCCAGGTTCTCTGCTAGTGTATTGGCTTCTCCAGTTCAGTATCCTTGTCCTCAGATCCCATAGTTAGTCACCTTCACAGACCAGGACTCCCAGTTCTAACATCCATTCTCTTTCACTACCCTGACTGCCTTTCAACCTTTGATCTAAGTGAGTTTATTAAAGCCCATCGCAATATTCAGGTGCTGTGCCAGGCAGTTAAAATACAGGAGCTCTAATCTAGTCCAAAGCCATCTTCCAGATTCGGTGTTACTAGCTCTCTAGCAAGATGAGAAAACTGGTCAGAGAAAGCTGGTGACCAGTTAGGATTCACACGCAGGTCCCCAGGTCCACACTCTCTGCTCTGTCCATGCAATGCGTTTGGCCCATAGTGAAGGACGGCATTTCCTCTCCACTCTTCCTTTCTCCGACATTTCTCGTGTCCCTCTTCACTTAGCACCCCCTCCCTACACCAAATACAAGTGAAAGATCTCCTCCAAAACTTCCCGATCCATGGGAAAGATTCCTGTTGAACTCTGTCTGACCTCAAGGTGAGAGATGAGTGTAAACCCTCTCCTTTCTTTGCTCCACACTCACCCTGGATGGCTGCAGCCTCTGGTCTGGCTTTGTTTTCTCTCATTCTTTTATTAGCTGCCTGATCAGCAGCCCAATTAATCTGCTGATCTGTGAAGGAGGATGGCTCACAATGAGCTCCTCCATTTCCAGAAGCCACTCTCTGAGGCAGCATGGCCAGGCATTGAGCACAGGCTGAGTCCTTGATGGAGGGCCACTGGGAGCCGGGATCAATTAGTGGACAGATTAAGCAATTATTAGCCCCTAACAAGGGTGCCTGGCATCATTACCCTGCCTGTTTACTGGCAAACTACAGCTTTAATATGAAGACCAACAAATAAATTAGGGCATCTGGTCTACCACGGCGTTGGCTGAGCAGTAAATGATGTCCAACTGGCTCTCAGCCACCGATGGATTCTCAGCCCTGGCCTAATGAAAAACCTGAGTTGTCCCTCACTGGTCACAGCAGCTCTGGAATGTGCCATGAAGTGACTTATCATCCCAAGAGCTAAGTGCCTGCCACTGGGCATGTAGATTGTTCTCAGTTACCCTGCTGCTTCCTCCTGTCTGGCTGTCAAAACCTGCTTATCTTTCAGGGCCCAGCTCGAAAGCCTCTTTCCCCTCGCTGCCTTTCCTGCTCTCTGCAGCAGGACAGGAGTTCTCCTTCTGCACTTTTGGGAGGGTTTTGTACTCTCCTATCACTTTCCAGCGTTACAGTCATTTTGTGGAAGGCCAGAGCTCCATTTTATTTATTTTTTCTTAGGTCTCTGATGAATAAGTAGGAACATGAAGAAGAGGAGGGACAGGGCAAGGGCTGAGAGCTGTCGTTCGCCACCCCCCTTCCCCCATTGATATACACAGGCCATCGCCAGAATACAAAGGAGGGCAGGGACAGCGTGAGATCTGCACTTTAGGAAGGTCCCTGTGGCTGCAGTGATGAGGGTACAGTCCAGAGGTGGTTGCTGTTACCTAGGCCAGATGTGGTTCTCATATAGGTTAGATGTGATGGTGGCTGAGAAGAGAGGCAGAGATGAGGGACACTGCCTGACTGTGGGAAGAGAATCCTGGGAAATTCAGCTTTTCTAAGTCTGGTGGCCTGGAGGTGGTGTTGGTACCAGCAGAAAGCAGAAAAGGCAGTCAGCCCTGAGTCTAGGAACTAAGGACCCTTGAAGTGGGGAAAGGAGCAGAGTTGGGGTCATTGATAAAACCTCCCTCTCCTCTTGTGGCTTCTCCTCTCTGCTCTGGGTGTGCCCATCAGCAACGTGAGGACCGAGACCCCTAAGGTCCCAGACTCCATAATCATCCAATCCAACTTCAACGTTTGGCCAACAGCGTGCCCATTAGGGAGCAACTCGGAATTTATTGCCCTGAGTTATCCTGCCTCTCCCCATATTTGTCTATCAAAACCCAGGGGGCCCTCCTGGGCACAGCTCACATGCGGTCTTTTCCTGGAAGCCCTCCCTGTCCTCTTCAGCAGGGAGGGCTTCCAGGAAACTTGTAAACTTCACTGGGCGGTCTGTAGCTGTACACTCATAGTGGCTAACAACATAGGCCAAAAGTCACCTGGTGAGCTCTGACTTTCCCAAGCTCAGGAAGATGTGCTGCCTCCTTCTTGAAACACTTTGAGGTTAACCTAGATAATTCTCTTTCCCTAGGGATCATTGACTTCCTCATAAGCCAGCACCCTGTTGCTCGTGTCCTCCGGGAACACCTGGTCTTCAAGATTGCACCAATGCTCAACCCTGATGGAGTCTACCTGGGCAATTACAGGTGAGGGACAGGGGAGAATGCATCAGTGGTGGTGTGGAAGCAAGAGGAAAGAGGGGATATGTTTCTGAGGAAGAATTTTCAGACTTACACTTGAGTTCATTAGAGGAAGTTTCACCCTGGCTCTTGAGAATGTGACTCATGGGCCTTGACTGTTTCATGCACAGCCACCTGAGGTCATTTGCTGGAGCTTGCTGGATCAGGAGTCAGGAGACCTAGAATCTGTTTTGGCACCTACTTCCTATGGAACCTTGGGGAATTCACTTTCCCTCTCTGATGCATTGCGGTTTCTCTTGCATAATTAAGACAATAATTATTTACCTGGCAGGGCACCTGTGAGCTTTAAAAGACGTGGTGACAAATGTGCTTTGTAGAATATCATATGGTGGTTATAGTGATTACTGTCTGGTTTCTGTGTTTCTTCTCGGAGATTATTAACGAAGGAGAGTGGCATCCCAGATCACGTGAACAGCATGTCTCTTTGGTGTGGGCATCCCTGATAGCCCCACACTCACTCATACTCTTCTTCTCTTGAATTATCTTTATCCTGGCCTAGCACCATAGTTTACAGCTGAAAATTCCACTGCCCGGGGAACCATCTGCTGAAAGAACATTGACTCGTGTGAGAGAGACAGTGTGATTACCCTTATTTCACAGCTGAGGCAATAGACTTGCCCAAAGTCATACAACCAGTAAATCATTGACTGTCTAACCTCACTGCCCAAACTATACAGCTTTAAAACTGATTAGTCCCACAACGCTCAAGGCAGCATTCAAACTGCTCAGCTCTGAGGCAAGGCTCTGTGTGGGCTAGAGCCTCATCTCCCACCCTGTTATCTGAGAGTGGTTGCTCCGGCCACTCTAAGGAAAGCCTCATTCCCTTAACTTTTCCTATTGGTCCCTGATCGCTTACCTTCTTAAAGGTTCCCTGTCCAGAGCCTTCTGGTCCCTTCCTCATCTCACTAACCCTTGCTCCAACTCAGCTTGTGCCTCTTCTCCTGGAAAATATTCCCCAAACCTCCAAAACAGAATTGGTCATTCCCTTCTCTCAGCTCCCACAGGCCTGGCTATTGAACACGACTTACCCCATGGCATAGACCCCACTGGTCCTAAAGCCACCAGAGGGAAGGGACTGAGCCTTGATAGTGCTCGTGTCCCCCGTGCCTGTCAGCAGAGGTCAGCACACAGTAGATGCTCTAAAAGAGTTTGGTCGATATGCGAGAAGGAAAGGGATGACTTGACTGAAGACACTGAGGCTCAGAGATGAGATGGGACTTGCCCAAGATCAGTGGCAGAGCTTAGACCGGAATCCACATTTCCTGACACCCAGTCAGGTCCATTTTAGACAGAGCTGATTTAATGATTTCCCAGAATGTGACAACTGGGTCCAGAGGGGCTTCCTAGTACCCCTGAGTACCAGTTGGAGAGAACCCATGAGATGCATGATGCCTTAATTAAAGACAGTTTGCTTCCTCTTTTAATTGGCTCAAGTGATGGTTCATTAGCACTGGCAGGTTTGACGGCTTGCTGCAGGCCTGGGAGCAATGCCTCTCCACTCTCCCTGGACAGGATGCGCTGTTAGTGATAATGGTGGTGGAAGGGCCATTTGATTCATGTTAACATTTCTGTTTAATTACAAGAGTGGCAATGGTCAGGGAGAGGTCAGTACTCTCCACTCCACCCACTTATTTGTGTCGTGTCACCGTCTGCTGTCCAGGGATGACCAGTTGGAAAGAGGTCTATGACCTTGGCCAAAATACCTCCTCTCTCTGGGCTTCATGTGGCCGGTGGGAATGGTCCTGGGAACTGACTGCTTCCTAGCTTTGTCCTCCAGCTCCAAATTTTGTGATTTGGGGATTTCAGGATAAAGGAGCTCCACCGCTCAGAAATGGTTCTGTGCCAAAAGCCCAAAGTTCTCCTAGTGAGAATATGTGATTCTCATTATGAAAGTTGAAGAAAATCTCTAACCACACGCATTAATCCTGTTGCTAAAATAGCCCTGAGGAGCAACAAAGAGCCTGTCAATCATGAGAATTCACCACTGAGGATTTGGAGACTGTGAAACATAATAATCAAGACTCTGAATGGAGACCTCCAGGGTGCCTGAGAGGTCCTGTAGGCCAGCCCCTCCCCGAGCCCCTCTGGCGACCTCAGCAGGTGTCCCACGGTTTGGTGGGACTTGCCCAGGTGTTACAGGGGAGAAAAGGGTTTCGAGTTCAAGAAATGTGGGAAGCACGTTTAAGCAAAGTTAAACACGTTCTTTTACAAGAGGATTCTTCAGTTTTGAACATGCTAATAAACGGGAATCCCAAGAGGGGAAAATAGGGTTCAGTGTTTCCCAAAGGAACTTCTCCCTAGAGAGTCTGCTCATCCACCGCGTCCGGGCCCCAGTGGTGTTAGGGTTATAAGGCACCTTTTAGAAAGGCCGCTCCCAGAATTCTGCTCGCTGACCCAGTGCTGCGTCTGATGTTCACACACTTACCTCTTTTAATCCTCACAGCAACTCTGTGAGCAACTCTGGTTCTTTGTTAAGGTTTCTCTGCTTGCAGATGATAAAAATCGACTCCAATTACCTTGAGTAGAGGAGAAAAAGTGGAGAGACAAGTTGCCTATGCTGCCAGACTCTGGCTTCCGGGAGGAGTTTGGAGGGCCTCAAGTTCATAGCAGCCATTGTGCGTTCTCTGGTCGCTGTCTAGAATGGGTAGATGCTGTAACAGTAGATAGCAATGATAATATGGAATATAATAAAAACACAGGACAGTTGTACCCCCCCCCCGTCTCACCTACGGTGCTCCAATAACACTGGATATTTCTTCAGTCCAGGTCTGAGGTTTAACGCCACCTGACAGACAGACCTGCCTAGAGCCTCCAATATAAATTAGGTCTCCGCTCACACCCGCTCAGAGTGCTCTGCGCTGTCCTCTCGTAGCTCGTGCCCCAGTTTGTAGTCACGTGCTTATCTGTGTGACTGTTTGGTGACTGTCTCCACCTCTGGACTCTAGACCCCACGATGTCAGGGCTTTGCTCACCTGTATCCCCCAAGCCTAGCACGGTGCCCAGCGCAGAGCTGACGTTTGACATGTATTTTCCAAGTGAATAAATTAACTCCACAGCAGTGTTTAGCAGCTGAGCTGTGGTGCAGAGCTACAATCCCCACGCAGAGAAGCCCTCACCAGATGCCGTCAGCTCCCAACCCTTTACTTTCAGCGGCAGGGCCTCCAAACCCCAGTTGCTGGATCTTCTGCTGCCATGACCTGAATGCTGTGATGAGCTACTGTAATGATTCGGTGAACTCTGGGTTCACAACCACATTTTATCATACAGAGCCACATATCATCACACTTAAAAGCCACATTTGATCATTACCACAGCTCTTTGAGAAAGGAAAGTTAGTTTTTATTATATCCATTTGAGCTCAGGGAAACTGAGGCTGCAAAGGAAGAGCCATGTTCAGGGTCTTATGTGCAGCGAGGCCTCTCCCTGCTCCCAAATCCTGCCTTTGCCGGAAACAGAGAGCCAGCCAGCCATCGAACTGTGCCTGCTCTCCTGCACCTTCCTCTCCTGGGGCAAGACGCTCCTCTCCCCTGGCCTCTGGTCCCCTCGGGCCCTCTTGGAAGAGGAAAATGAGGTGAAAGGCATTTCTCATCATTTAGTAGAAGCACTGGGGAGAGGTTCTGTCAAGGATGGTACAGCTTGGACAAACCTTGAGAACATTATGCTAAGTGAAATAAGACAGACCCCGAAAGACAAATACTTTATGATTCTGTTTATATGAAGTACTTAGAGTAGTCACAATCATAGAGACAGAAAGTAGAAAGGTGACTTCCAGAGGGAGTGAAGAGGGGGGAAATAGGGAGTTATTGTTTAACGGGTATAGAGTTTCAGTTTTATAAGATGAAAAGAGTCTTAGAGATAGTTGGTGGTGATGATTGCCCAACATTATGGATGTACTTAATACCATTTTGTCGTACACTTAAAAATGATTAAAATGATAAATTTTATGTGTATTTTACCACAATAAAAAATGGTATGACTTATTGATGCAATTTGAGCATCTCTGAAGAGTTCTAGGGGGATCTGGGACCTTTGAGGGGTGAACGCTGTAATTCTGGTATTCTAGGGCCAGGAGCGCCAAGGCAGTTCCTGGGCGGAAGGCTGGGAGGCCTCGGGGGTTTGGGGGTGACAGGCCGAGCCAGTCTATGATGGTTGGCAGTTCTCACCGTCCGGCAGCAGATGTGGCTGTCCCCACACACTGCAGCACTGGCGCTCTCTCTCTGCCACCTCCTCCTCCCGAGCATCTCCTTTGCCAAAGAGATAGCCTCTATCCCCACCTGTACCCCACTGCGTTTTCTGCTGAGCCCTGGTGATGCGCCAGGCGCCTTGCATGTGAAAAACAGACTCTCCGTCTCCATATGGCAATATGAAACTCTGCGTTGGGTTTGCATTTCTTAATTAGGTGCTTGTCATGGTGTATTCCATAGAGCCACGTGTAAGTAAACAGTCATAGGCCTTTGAATAAATTTATTGGTTTTATTTATGTTTCTGGGCATAAAAATCTATAATTACCAGGTACAGCCTCAGTATAACTGGTATTTAATGACAATTACTTTTTGTTACCATAGAAATGAGTTCAAAGTAGTTACCCATAATTTCTCATTTCCCAAACCTCACACAAGCTGAATTGCAATATTACCATAGTAATTGCCTATTAGTCATCATAAAATACACAGTTACCCAAAAGATAGCAGGATGCTGTGAAATTTCTCATCTTCGAAAGCCTCGGTGCTTCTTGGGAGTGCGGAGGTGGGGAAGAGGAACAGACCTCCATGGGTGGTGCAGAAATGGTCCAGCTTGATAGCACGGCAGGCGCTACAGACCCTGCGGTGGGAACGGATGCGCTACTGGGGTCTGCAGGCTCGCAGCGCGTTGTGTCTCTTGGCCCGCACGAGCTTCATGTAGCAGAGGATGCTCCAGTGCAGTAAATTCAGTTTAACTAAGGTTTG